CTGCCATGAGTTACCGGCAACGGCGTAGGCTGCAGCGGGGCTGCAGTGGGCTGCCATAAGCTACCATGACTGGCCAGCAGCCAGCATGAGCAGCTGGCAGCCAGTGTGAGCTGCCAAGAGCCACCTTGAGTGGCCGTCCAGAGGCTGGCGACTGATCTGCCTCACCCGGGAAGAGCGCAATGATAATACCAACATGGGCCAGTGAAGCAACATCCTCCACAACTAGACTGAAAAACAAAAGGACAGCAACTTGTCTGTTCTCCTTCCCTGGATTGCCCAGCTGTTCCCCTCCCTCAATTCCCCAATAAAATCTTTTAAAAAAAAATTTATAAATGAAACTATGATAGTTTTATTTTCATTTTCAATTTTACTTCAGAGCCACATGTATGTACCCAAAGAGCTGCATGTGGCTCATGAGCCGCAGTTTGCTGACCCCTGTCAGCTCTTCCATCTCAAAAGTTTGCAGACCCCTGGGCTAGACTAAGGGATGTTGCACGTCCTTGGCGTGATGATGCGAGATTTCAGCATGCTACTCAGAATGACGCACAATTTGAAACTTATGAATTGTTTATTTCTATAACTTTCCACTTAATATTTTTGGACCACAGTTGACTGCAGGTAACTAAAACCTGGAAAAGGGAAACTGCAGATAAGTAGGGACTACTTTATTACTTAACACTGCAGTCTCAGTGCTCTATAGCAACACCAGGTTGAGGAGGTTATAAATAATAAAAAGCAATAGGTATTCCTGCGGTTTTGAAATTTTTTACATATATCTAACTAAAAATATACACAAATCTCTGTCTCTCTTAATCTCTCTTTCTCTCTCTCTCTTTTACACACACACACACACACACACACACACACACACTTATTCACATGGGTATATGCATTGAAAAAAAAGTCTAGACTCTAGATGAATTTCACCAAAGCATTGATAGTGGCTAAGTCTGAGTGGTAAGATATTGGGTAAATTGAAATATTTTTTTCCTCTTTTTTGCTTTCCTTTATGTGCCAATTTGCCTACAAGAAATGTGAATTACTTGTAAAACAAACAAAAACAGCTAAGGATTTACAATAAGAAAATTAAAAAGTAAAATTAGCTATCATTCATTTGAATACCTACCAGATGCCAGAAAGTGCACAAAGCACTTTCCATACATTCTGTCATTTAATCCTCACAATTTATGTGAGAGGCACTATTACTATTCACATTTTAAGGGTGAGGAAATGAGACTTGAGGCAATTTGCCCAACTAGTATGATATGGATTGACTTTGGAATACAATTATAGAAGCATACCTGCACACATCCAGCTACTCTCACATGCACTCCACTTTAGGAACAGCTATCTCAGCTGGCAACTATCTAAAACTCAAAACCCAGATATCACCACCCTCCCCAACACCAGATAACCTAATGATTCTCTCCTAGATAACCAGCCATGTGATAGATTGAAAAACTTGGCCACAATATATTAGAGCTCTTTGTAAGTGGTAGATTCCCCATTCCTCAAATCCAGTCTGATCTTGAGGTAGAACGTGGTAGAAGTGATATTGTGCAATTTCCAGAGGGCTCGCAGCTTCCATCTTCATCCTCTTGGAACCCCAAGACCACCATGGTATGAAGAAGCCCCAAATGAAATACCACATGGAAAGAGAAGCCCAGGCATTTCAGCTATCCCAAATGAGCCCAATCCCCAGCTAACCTTCCAAATTAGGGTAGACATCTGAATGACCCCAGACAAAGGCAGCAGAGAAACTACCCACCAAACCCATAAAATAATGAAAAGCAATATACTGTTGTTGGTTTAAGCCACTGACAAGAAAAAAAAAATTCTGGGATGTTCTAAATTAAATTACAGCCAGCTGGAGTGAGAGAAAGAGGCAGAGCAGAGCAATTAGCCTGTTCATAGCTGGGGGCCCCTGACAAAAGACTGCTCACATTCCTGAATGTATATTGGAGCTTTGAATCAACATCCAGGCACCTTTAGCCATCACTAGACACCACTGCATCCCACATATATGCATGAGCTTTTAGGACTATTGCCTATAACCAACCAAAATAGTAAATATTTCTTCCTTGCAGACTGTGCTCTCATCATAGAACTGCCTTATCCTGTCCCCTTCACCTTATCCTGTCCCCCTTGTCTATAGCCAACGTAAACTCTTTCAAAACAACTTACATCTTTCTTCCCCAAAACATAATGTATAAAAATGCCCTTCAACTCCAGGACTGCGGACATGCTTGTCTTTTCCACCAAGCCATGCTGTTTGTTGGGGGTTTAGACTTCATGCCCTATGACCTGTTTTTGTTTCTGTTTTTTGGCTAACATTTGGCTCAATAAAACCTTTCTTTCAGAAAACTTTCAGTCGTGAAATTTTTCTGTTTAATACCACAACGTTGTGGGGTGATTAGTTATGCAGCAATAGCTAACTGATACAACTTGAATTTCTCCCTCTCAAGTCACTGGGGTGCCTGTGTTGGGTCCATGCTACAAAGAAATACTAAAGTAACACAATGTGGTAAAAGCCCATTCAGTGAGGTTCTCTTGCACTTCTTTTCCTCATACACAGATCGAGCCTACACTCCATGCCCCAGAGTGATTATAGATCTCACGCTCCCTTCCAAATAAACCAAAGGTTTGTTCTTCTCAAAACAGAACTAACTATATACAACTGAACAAATACAGGTAAGAAAGTGTGAAAGATTACACACAAAAAAGAATGTCAAGAGAGCTTTCTATATGAAAGCAAGGAATTGTTTGCATAGGAAAATGTGTGCAGAAACCAATTAATTTTTTTGCTTTGTTTTTTTATAGAACATTAGGTTTTCCTTCCAAGATTTATTGAGTCATGAAACATATTAACTGTGGCAGGCTGAGTATCAATTAAAGACAGAAGGCAAGG